GTAAGTTACATGGAGGATATAGAGTGTGTAAGTTACAGGGAGGATATGGAGTGTGTAAGTTACAGGGAGGATATGGAGTGTGTAAGTTACAGGGAGGATATGGAATGTGTAAGTTACAGGGAGGATATGGAGTGTGTAAGTTACAGGGAGGATATGGAGTGTGTAAGTTACATGAAGGATATGGAGTGTGTAAGTTAGAGGGAGGATATGGAGTGTGTAAGTTTGAGGGAGGATATGGAGTGTGTAAGTTCGAGAGGGTATGGAGTATGTAAGTTACAGGTAGGATATGGAGTGTGTAAGTTACATGGAGATTATGGAGTGTGTAAGTTACAGGGAGGATATGGAGTGAGGGTTAGAAGGAGGATAAAGAGTGTAAGTTACAGGGAGGATAGGGTCTATGTAAGTTACACCTAGGATAGGATAGCGAGTATGTAAGTTTATTAGTATAACTATATATGTAATATGCAATGCCTGACTAACGGCGGAAATTCCCTATTAAACGTGATTACTGGTGATTATAGGTGATTAACAGGTTATTTGACAGCACGCATTTGACATCTTACGAAATGATCGCACGCGACTCCACAAAAAAACTGCCACGGCATTTTTCATGTTTTTTATTCGATGCTCCTTCCCGCCACGTATACGACCTCACTTACACGCATGCGCGTATGTTTCTTGTTCGTACATAGAAGTCGATATGAGTTTCGCACCCATAAAAACGCGGACAATTTGCGTGAGTGAAGAACATTTCTCTGCCTACCGCCACTCGCGCATGATCACCGCTTCTGAGAAATATATTTGATAATGTCGGCATTTCACCAGTACATATTGCTGTTTTGCGCGGGTGAGTATAAATACATATCGTTAATGAGCTGTATATAATAAGAAGTATAAATTATAATGTGACTTGTTGCTTTTCCACGCGTAAATTATTGTTACACTTTCCCAGTCTATAAACGAGCTAAGACTATCCGTTAGGCAATAGTATAGTATTATAACATCTAGTCTTTGGTTAATTGGCAAGTAAATGCTCATTATATGCACGTCTAAGTACGTCGTATTAATTTAGTAACTTTCAGCTATTTGCGCCACACGTGTATGTGATGAAAATCATCTAGCTTCGCCGATGAGATTCGCATTTCATAAATGAATTGCGTTAAATCATTCTCTTTTATGCTTACAGGTCTAACGCTCGTGGACGCCTTATTAGAGCATCGGCTACTGCTGCAGCGTAACACAGCACATGATGATAAAATCGCGGCTGAACGCCACCTTGCTACGCTGCAAGCTGGTTCGGTGCGTGGGTGCGCCTTCCACTGCGTGGACACGGAATACTGCAAGTCTATCGGATTTGTGTCAACCTCAGGCCGTTGTGAGCTTATGTTTGGCACAGAGAGGCAAAATAGTAATGAGACAATTTTTATCGAAGTTCCTGGGCTGAAATACTATGATGCGAAGAAGAAATCACCAGCAAGTATGTTATTAAATCTGTAATTTATTGAGCTCATCTGTCATTTATCTCAGTTATTAAATCCAATATTTATATATGTATATAAATATAAAAATGTCATATATATATATATATATATATATGTAAATGCACACGTACATTTATGCGTACACGCACAAGTGCACGCAACGCACTACAACGCCACTGACGACACGCACACGCGCGCGCACAACTGAAGCACACTTACACACAAGCGCCGGCGCAGTGCCCACACGCACACGCACGCACACGCCCATGCACGCACCCACGCCGGCACACCGAACAATGCAGCACGTACCACGCACACCAAACGCACACGCGCACGGCACACAGCACGACGCACCACGCCAACGCACACGCACACGCACACGGCACGCATAACGCGACACGCGCAGCACAACACGCCGCGCCACGCACACAACGCAGCCGTGCATTATCAGATAAGTTCTGAACGTGTGAAGTGATATTTATTTATGATTGTTATGTGTTTTATACCGATAACGCACGGTAGATTGATGTTGTTTGCCGACAAAAATATTGATTATTGTTTTACATCGCACTTACAGTGTGCCTGTACGCCGGAGCCACGACTTTCCCGCTGGGGTTAGGAACTCCTTCCATGCCTTCTGAAATACATGCGACCTGGTCATCAATCTTAACGGACCACTTCTTTGAGCAAATTAAGCTGGCGAGCTCAAAGGCATTTTGCCATGATTCCGAACAATCACATTGGATCCAGGTATAGACTTTTTTTAGAACCCGTCTAAATTTATAATTTTAATTACCGCATATGAACTTTAATATTTTAACTGTGAAAGTACCATATAGAGCATATAATTTATTTATTTTTATGAATGATATTATGATAATTCGGATACTATGAGGGCTGTAATACATGATTAAACCCCGCGTATCACATTATATACATTGCTTCAACGTAAGATACAAACATAACGACGCGCGCGTCGCTGTGCGCACCACCCACGGCGCACGCTTATTACATACGCACGCACGCAGGCACGCCACAACATGACGCACGCACGCTACACAACACACACACACACACACACACACACACGACACACCACCACACACAGCACACAACACACACCACATAATACACACATTCACAACAACGCACGCACGCTCGCATACACACACACACACACACATACACACATTCACAACA